AACCCGATTGCCAATGGAAATGCGAATGAAAATTTGGCATAGGCACGTAAATTATGTGCTGCCAATTAGCAGGCAACAAATTTCTGCACGCCATTCTTCTCGAAGGTCCTTTAGAAAAATCGCAAAAGGAAATGGCAATGGCAGAAAAATGTGACCAAAAATACGCACAAAAAGCAAAAAAAAGAAGTGAAGAAATCAAAGAAAAGCTATTTGGTTGGGGGGGTTTCGGTTGGGCCCGCCGGTGGGGGAGGCGTACATCTATGGCACTCGTATAATAGGCAAACACAATGTAAGGCAAAACGGAAGAAGTCAGGGTAGAGTCGACTGTGGAGTAGCCTGGAGGGTCCTTGACGTTCTATAGGGAAATAATGACCCAGGAATTGGTCTCCAACTTTCCTATATGCCCTGCCACCATTTCCAGGGTATCAAAGCGGGGGAAAAAAATGTATATAAAAATAATTTCGTCACGACATAAGTGGCATCATTAGAGGAAGTATGTTGGCAGGCAGACCACCCACAAAACAGCCTTCCCCTACCCCCTCCCACCGACCGCCACCCCGTTACGGCCGTCTCAAGTGCCTGACGCAAAAAAGTCAAACAGGAAAGAAAAAAGAAAGTTCTATATATATGTCGTGGCAAGTGCTGGGGCCCGCTGAAGGCGTCAGATTGGGGGCGTGTACCCGGCCAGTGGGCAGGGGGTGGGGCCACTGCGAATGAGTACGAAGAAAACATGGTAATTTTTCATAAAAACCGCCAAATGCGCACACAACCTCAAGCGAGGCAAAAGGAAAACTGGCAAAGAACCGAAAAAAAAACAAAAATAAAAGAAAATATATAAAAATTCTGCCTTCCTTTTCCTGCTTGTACCCCTTAGAGAGGGTATGATGGACCGAAAGGACTCGCCAATTTTCGTACCCCCACTTTGGCACCCAATACATCTGCCAGGGTATCTCGTAGCTTCGTTCCTGCCTTTTTGCTGCCTTTCCTTCGCGGTTTTTTGTTGCGGCTGGAATGTGTTTCAAAGACAGAGGGAGGCTTCTTGGGCGGGGGGCGTGGCATGTCATGTTTATGCGACGTCTTTAGCCATTTAGGCATGCGAAATGCGTTTGCCCCGAAATCCTTTTTACGTGAATCCTCAGCCCAAGGACAAGACAACCCCAAGCCATATGGAAGGATCCAAGGGGGGAGGCGGGGGCGGCGAAAGGCGTGCGGTGTGGTTGGCCGAGGAAAAACAAACTTCCACCGGAAGTGGCAAACGGCGGCAACGGAAATGTCAACAAAACAGCAAAACGCTTTCGGGTGGCGGCGTGTCGGCCCCTCCATAAATCCCGGCTCCACCCGGTACCTCCCAGGCCACTCATAATCATTCCCTGGTGAAATATTATCAAATTGCGGCAATTGATTTAACTGCCGGCGGCTCTACGTGACGGCTCCTTAGCCGGGGGTCCTGGCCGAAGCCAAATCGCAACTCAAGTCGTGGCAGTTAGCCATCAAACTCCGCACAGATCTCGCATTGCAGATGGATAGTTTTCTGGCAAGATAAAACACGATGGTCTGTCAAATCTGATGTACGCACGGGCTCTGCATACAAAAGCATTGGGGAACCGAAAATTGAATTAGAAACCCGATGAAAGATGATGAAAAATCCACACAACAAATTGTTTCAAGCAATTATTCAGAGATAATTGGCCAGGAAAAAGGGTTTCACGTGGTTTGGAAGTCTGTTTTTGTTTGAGCGGAAGAATCTTTAAGGAAAACAGCTGTTAAAGTGAGGTTTAAGGAAAACAGCTGTTAAAGTGAGGTTTAAGGAAAACAGCTGTTAAAGTGAGGTTAGGTATGAGAAAAAAGGCTCAAAATCCAACTAAAATTAAATTCCCTTCCATTTATATTTATTTTCCTTAAAATTGCTCATTAAATTCCGTCTGAAATGGCGACTCAAAAAGCATTTTCCCAGTAAAACCCATCGACAATTAATTGAAATATTTAATTATTTAATTACACACCAGGCGGAAAAAAGGTGGAGTCCTCACGCCAGCTCCAGGCTGGTGCCTGATTAAGACTTGTAAGAAAACAGACTGGAATTCGGGGAAAAGGATTTTCCAAGCCACAAGTCAGAGGCATTTTGTCGCCGTTGATTTATTTGCGTGATGTAATTGAAACGCCTGTTGCCAGTTGCCAAGGGATCTTGATCAAATGTTGTGGAGCATAATTAGTGCTTTTCTCAAAAATAGATCATAAATAATCGCCGTTGCTTGGCGTCCCCCCAACGAGAACGACGCCACAAGGAGCCGCAAGAGAGGCCTTGCATAAATTACCTAAATGTTTCCATCTTGCCGTTGGCCTTGGCACACGACAATGGTGGACCCTTATCCCTTTTCTGTCTCTGCCACTGCCTCTGAGTCTATTCTGGCAACGCGTCGTATGCGCAATTTTATTAAATTACATTCGTGTTTTGGCAAATTAATTACGAAATTATGTTGTCGTCTGGCGCCTAACGAGCTCTATCTCTAGCTACGGCTTCCCTCCCTCCCCCCCACCCCCCCATTTCGAGTCTCTAGATACATATGTATCTATCTAACTGGTTGTTGGGCTGTGGGCGGCCTTGTACGGAGTACGCCATGCATTTCACTTATCTTTGACTGTCAGAGTACGCCAGGGGACGGGGGGGCTCCATAGTTCATGCATATTAAAAGTAATTTCAGCTCATTTTTGGCATATTTCGTTGTCTGGTCCTGCAGGACGTGGTCCATTTGAATGGACCGTGTCGCTGTCGCTGTCGCTTTCGTTGGGTTTGATTCTGAGGCGAAATCTCAGTGGCAATAAATTTGGCTTTATGTTCATGCCTTGCTTACCAAATTGTGTGCCCTCCCCCACCCCACCCCTTTTTGCTTATCTAATTAAAGCGCAGGCAAGGTCAAAGCTCATTCATTACTCATACGCATACGAGGCATTAGCCGGTTGCCCAAATCATTGTCAAAATAAATTACACTAATTTGTTAAATCGCTGCCAAAGAGCCCGAGACATGGGCTCTGTGTGGGGGGAAAATGAAAATCAAATCAAATGCCTGGCAACGTTTTAAGTTAAAAATCACATTTGCATATTTTCTGCATAACAATCAGTGGAGCAATCGCCTGTGACGTCAGTGGAATTGGCGAATGCCGACACCAGCACACATGATGCCACACACTGAGAGAAATAGAGGACTCCAAACGGGGGCCAAAGAAGTGCTCTCCACTGCCTTTTTCTGGCAGTGCCTTTTTGCTACCTGTTTGGGATCTCCCTGCGACTTTTGGCAAATTGCTTCAAGCTTCAAGCAGCACACACATCGACCAAAATCGAGACGATGCCTTTTACCCACGACCATTCATTGGAACCGAGCGGATGTGTACGCTTCATTTATGCATTCATCAATCAGCTAACCAAGTGTAAATTTTTTTGCATTTCCCTGCGCGTTGAAATAAAACAGAGAATTTGAATTTAACAGAAACACCCCGTCTCCAGCTCTCCCGCTCTCCCTCGCCCCCCTATTACTCCATAAAAAACACCCCCGCCCCCTTTTGGCTAGAATGCTTTTGTCTTTTGGGCTTTTACTCCGCATCGTAACGCATCCTATCGAATGGCTCCCTCGTTCGCCCTTCATTTATTTTATTTTGAAATATATAAATCGCACCTAAAAAGTATGCTACACTAAACTTTGATTCATGGCGCAAAGTTTCCGTGTGCGCTGTGGAAATTTCGCTTTTCCTTACGCACACACACACACACACACACACAGAGAGAGAGTTTTCCGCAGCTGTTGCCCACAACGTTTCGGTTCAACGCTTTTTACGTGCTCAGCTGCCACGCCCCTCGCCATCCCCCCCCCCAACACCCAACAGCAACTTCTATATGTTTAAATTTAGCTGGAAGGGAGATGGGGAAAAAAAAAATCAACCAAAAGCCAGGCACCGAAAATTTTTGCAATTTTCCCTTGCGCCCATTTAGCACTTGGCCATGATACGCAGTTTTCTCTTTTATTTGCTGTGAAAATAATAGAATCATAAACTGAAACGAGCAGGAGTCGGGGTCGGGCCCGGCACGTGGTCCGCTTTGAAGTGTTTGATGAAATTTTCAACACTTAATGATGGCACACGCAAGTAGAAAAAGGGGGGGGACGTGGTGGAGGTGCAGGAGCAGGATCCCTGCAAAAAAGGACGAGCCAGAGCCATGTCCTAGACCAACAACACATCATAAACGTCAACGGCATTGACCATGCACCGCACAATTGTGTTAACCAAATGAAGCTGCCCGCAATCAGGCCCCATCCCCAGCCCCATCCCCAGCCCCAACCCCATCACCGTCCAGTCGCTGGCCCTGTTGCAGTTCAGTTTCAGGCTTTCAGCCGATTCGGCGACTACATAAATAGCCGGGGCCTGGGCCGGGACCGGGCCAATAAAACCAACGAGCCACTCCAAATAGGCTGCATGGAAATTCGCGAAAAACCCAACCAAAGGAGGAACAGTAGTCCGTACCCCACTGCCATACCCTATAGGATGTGTCCCGCTAAATGTCTGTTCGCTTTCGGAATATTTAAATCCTTTTTTTTTTGGGCTAATTCCGGGCTAAGAGACCTTTAATGAGAGTTAATTTTCCATTCAGCTGGGATATATTTTTGTTTGGAATATTCCTTTATTATTTATATGATTTTTTTACAGCGTGTTTTCGGACTTTTTGTCAAAAATGTAGCTTGTGGTTTCCTTAGTTAAGATTCTTCCTAGTTTTTGCTTTAACAATTACATTTATCCAGGTTTTGGTTTTGCTTTTGTTGTTACTTCACAAATTTTCGATTATAAAATTCCATGGAAAATCTAAGAAAGGCACTTTTTAGATTAAACTAGTTGTTGTAGTGTTTTTTGGATAGTTTTAAGACAAAGCTTTCTATTTTCTAGAGGGCTAGAGGTGCCCTGCTGCTGCCCATCTCCTGGTTTTTGTATCTTTTTGTGGCGTTTTGATGGTGCAGTCCTATTCAGGGCAAGTATATGCTCAAAAAGAAACCCAGTATGGCCGAAACAAAGAAAATTACAATATACAAGAACGGCCTCTTTTTCTCAGCCGGCACTGAGATATAGTCCTCGGACGGTGTCTTGAGGATCAACGAGTTGCGGTAGTTTTCGAGCAGAATCTTCAAGTGCAGATTCTCTGTTCGTAGTTCAATGTTGGTCTCCAGCAGCGCCTCCTTCGTCTCGGCGTTGGCGGGACGGACGATGGAGGCCGCACCGCCTACGGAAATGCACCTGGACTTTTCGAATACGCACTTCAGCTGGGCATCCCATAGCTTTTGCGGCTCCAGCTCCAGCTCCTTCCACAAGCCATTCAAATCGGTCAGATCGGCATTCGTCGGTGCGAGGACGCTTCGCACTAGGAAAGTGTCTGTCTTCTGCTGCTGATCGTGGTTGAAGGGCTGCAGGCAGATCCCCACGTGGATCGACCGAAGGGGCGGAATCAGGCCAATGCTTGGACGTACAAAGTAGCGCTTTGGTGCGGTTGTCTTGATCTTGAAGGCCAGTGGCGCCTCCGAGCTGTTGCGTAGGGTCAAAATTGTGACAATGGGCTGATTGAAGGGACCCGCAAAAAACAACTCATGCTCCGGATCAATGATCAGCGGAGGATCGTCTGTTGGTTTGCTCATGGCTGCTGTTTGTATGGCCTGAAAGGAATATTGTTTATAAATATACAATATTATTCAAGTTGATTTCACAAACCACAAACCAAATGTAGCTTACAAATTGTAAGAAAAAGTTGAATGTGAAGGTTTATTCTTTTCTTACAAATATTGAAGTATTTTCTAATGATTACTTATGAAAAGAATAATTGATTCTGGCATACGAATGGATGTAATACCAGCAGATATATAGAAAGATAGATAGTTCCTGGACCTATTCGAAAGTATCTGCATTCATTTTGGGACATAAGGCACTTCAGGCATTATCACATCATTATCGCACCCGAAAATTAGCATGCTGCCACCTCTCGCCACTCGCCACTCGCCTCCCGCCACTGGCCACTCGCCTCCCGCCACTCGCCACTCGCACCTGTGCCTGGTTTTGGCCAGTCTGCCTGCTGCTGTCACTTTTGGCCAGCAGCTGCTGTTGTTCGTTTCCCCCCTCCCCCACTCTTGTGGGGGCTCCAGCAGGGCTGTATTTGTTGCTTCGGTTTATGGCTGGGGAATTATGCTGTTAGTGTTGTTTATATTTAAAAATATGCTTAAAGCGTTGCATTGAACGCGCCAAACGGTTCGCCAATTGCCAAATAAATTACGAAATTTACAGGCAGCCCTAGCAGGGAGTGTGTGGGGGGCAGGGAGGTGGATTCCAACACGAAACGAAGTACCTGAAGTCCCTCGCCAAACAGTTTTCCTGCTGCGAATGGCTGCTGAGTGTTGGCCCATTTGGACACAATCAACGGCAACATTAACGATATCGCCTTCAAAGTGCCCCCCGACCCGACCCAAACCCAACCTCAAAACCCAGAACCAGACCCGAACCCAAACTCGGACCCGTACCCGGACCCGGACCCGGGCAATGGCAGGGCAAACACGCAAGCCCCCTTCAATGACAGACCCCCCCTCCCCCTCCCCAAAAGTTTTCCAGGTGAAGCAGATGGCCTTTACAGTTTAGTGATGGGAACGACTGGGGAACGACTGGGGTGCTCGTGAAATACGGAAAAGCGATGACAGTTTTTTAATCCAATAAATTTGGGTCATACCATAGTTTTGATAGAATTTTGGGTAATGCTTATGACTACAAAAAATATTACCTGGCAATTTTTTCGATATTAATATCATATTATGGAATAATACATCGATTTGCTTCAAAAGTAACAGTAAACAGCATAATTGTATTTTTTCTGTGATAATTTTTATTCCAATTTTACAGATTTATCTTTAAAAACAATCCTTTTTTTGTGATAAGTTTTATTCTGAATAACAAATTTATGGTTAAAAAATATAAAAAATTCTTTACTTTTCTGTGTCAATTTTTATTCTAAAAATCAAATTTATATTTAAAAAAAATTCTTATTTTTTCTGTGATAATTTTTATTCCAAAAATCAAAATTATCGTTTAATAAAAAACAAACTTTTATTTTCTCTGATAATTTAAAGTACTAACATATCAATAAACAAAAAAATCCTATTTTTTCTGTAAAAATTTTTTACCTAAAATATCTAAAAAAACAAATTTATCGTTAAAAAAATTCCTATTTTTTCTGTGATAATTTGTATTATATAAATTATAATTATATTATTATTATATTTACCTTTAAAAAAAAAACAAAAATCCCTATTTTTTCTGTGGTAAGTTTTATTCTAAAAAAAATTTTTGTTCAGTGATAATTTGTATACCAAAAAATTAATTGATAAACTAAAATACCAATTTATCGTTAAAGAAAAAAATTCCTATTTTTTCTGTGATAATTTTAACTCTAGAAAACAAATTTATCGTTTAGGAAAAAAATCCCTAGGATTATAATCATCCCAGGTTAAATAATTTGTGAGTAATGTACAAAATTTCAATAAAAAAAGGCAGGTGATGGGCAGGGTATTTTTAGATGAAAGACTTTTGCCAACAGATTAGGCTTAGAAATTGTTGAAATGCCATAAGCTTTATTCCTAAAGGTTCCCCTAAAGGTATTAGCTCTTATCCCAACGCAGAAATGTCCTCCAATGATGTACTGCCATTTGTATTTGCCATTACTGAAGTTCCATGCCCTCACGATGTCATCTCTGGCTATAAGTTTACCTGGCCCAGACGCCAGAAGAGTTCCATGTGTTTTGCTTGTTGCGTGTCCACTTTCACTTAGTTTTCAGGGGTGTATGTGTGTGTGTGTGTGTTTGTGTGTGTGTATATACTAGTGCGTCTGTGAACAGGTGAGTGTGTACCGAGAAATTGCGGTTTGTTTGCCAGGTAATTACATTTTGGCATTTTCTCTGTATGGGTTTGCCTCCACCTCGCACCTCCTGCCTGCGTCTGTGTGCGCTCCTCTACCGCCCCAACCACTCTTTCTCTCGATCCTCTGTGTGTGGGCATGTCAGCGTGATAATTATGCGACTATAATCGCACTTTTACATGCCAGTCCTCGGGATGGCGATGGAGGGTAGCGAAAGGCGGCCACTGCCGTGGCGGCAAGGACTTGGCTCAACTTGGAACTTCGAACTTGGCTGGAAACACTTGAACCTTAAACGAAATACGTCGTCAAGCGGCAAAAGTCAGCAGTCCCAGCTAATTAACTGGTCACAAGGTACAGTACAGACTTTGCCAACGACTCGACTTGGTCCGACCTCAGTCTCCCTCTCCTTCTCTCCCTCTCTGTCTCCACGACACACATTCATGCAATATTTAAGGCAAGAGTTGGCCGGGCTTAAACAAAAGCGAAAGGCATGTTTAATCATAAGAGCAAAAACAACATGGAATAGTCGCTCGCCATTGCCGTGTTGCCAAAGGCTTGAAGGTTCGCCTTCGCTGCAGAGCTAAACAGCAGCCGAGAAGTCGACGTGGCATACAAAAAAGGGTTAAGTAAATATTGAAGTGAATAAAAACCATGAAAAAGGGAGCCAAGCAAAAAATTCTTAAAAAAGAAATCCAAAAAAAAAGAAGGAGAGGTAATCCAGCTTCAGGGGACGAAGCGTTGGATACCCTGGCAGATAGTTTTTCGATTGGAACACAGACGTTGTTTCCTATTAAAAACCATAAATCGATTGGGATTTTCTTTGGCGGAGTTCTGTAGAATGATGTGAGATGATAGATGATATATAATAGTTATCTAGAGCTGTTTAAGGAACGTATAAGGTATACGCAGCCCTCCTACCGCCCGTACCGACCGAGGGGCGCTGCCGCATGACGCGCGCTGCGTTTTAGGGCTGCGTTTTGCCTGGGAGACGCGAGTAACGGTCTTTTGGGCCTTGATGGTGCTGTAATGGCATTGTCACTGGAAAGATGCAGTCAACGTCCCGAATAATACAATCCAAACAATAATATTTCCTTTATATAAAGTTCCAGCAACAAAACAAGGATCTTGGCAAAGTTTCCTCCAAAAAAGGCGAACATTTAAATACAAATCTAAAGCAGATCATGGCTGCCAAACCGGAATATATATAAATATATATACTTTTAAAGATCAGAAAGGCATCCATTTCTGTTTCTGGGCTGCATCGTAATACCCTCTGCTGGAGTCTGAAACGGGATTCCTACATATATATGTGGCAAAGCAAAGTGAAACGAAATGAAACGCATACAGTTAACTACTCTTTTGGCCATGTCGCGGACGGGGGGGGGGTGGGGGCTGGGGCGAATGAGCCAAAGCCAAAGCCAGCGCCAGAGCCAGAGCCAGAGCCGGCGTCAGAGCCTGGCTAGCTGAAGCAGCAGCTACCAATTAATGTCCTTGTTAGGCAGTGGCCTGTAAAATTGGCTTAAAAAATATGTAACCTTATGCGAGAGCGAGCCACAGACACAGACACAGATGCAGAACTTTTTTGTCCCTATACGGGTGTGTGTGTGTGTGTGTAAATGAATGTTTATGGGGAGCTGCACAAAATACTAATCAATGGGGCACTAACTAGGAGAAAAAACCTAAACCACAGGTCTATATACCTTTTTCTTGTTCACGAATCGATCCTCCGCATAAACTATAGCCATAGCACTCGTGTGTGCTTGTTTGCTCGCGGGATGTGGTGTGGTGTGCGATGGGAGAAATCCTTGCCACGACAATGGCTACAGTTACGTCCTGGTCCTGGTCCTGGTCCTGGCTGGTGTTGCTTTTGGCTTTAAGTGAAATAAAGTTCATACTGGTTTCGTTTCGTTTTTTATGCACTCGCGGCTATTATTTAATTTGCGCAGCTGGGCGTATATTGGTGACGGCTTTGACAGAGCCAGCACGAAGGCTTTCGGTATTTCCAGAGCTTCAGCCTTCAGTTTTTGTGCATTTCAGCATTTCATTATGGGCCACCTCATGCAATGCCATTGCAAATCATCAGATCCGGACATGAACACAGACACGGACATCGACACGGAGACGGAGATGGGGGCACCGAAGGACCCTGGGTTCCCGGGCCCGGCTCAAAGCGGTTGCCGGGCACGCAACATTTGACCAGAGACGACCAGACAGGGGCCCAGACCCCAAATATCGAATCCGAAATGCAACATTTTTCAGACATCAAAGTTGCCGCAGCGATTTTGCCAAACCAAAGACCAAGACCAGGCCAGGGCAGTGCCAGGATACAGCACAAAAGGATGGCGATGGGTGTGGGAAATACACAGGACACATGGGGCGGCTCCAGCCTGGGCTTGGGGTTGCATCCGTCTGGCGAAAAGAGCAACAACCGCACTCGGACAAGGCTGAATGGGTGAAAGTGGCAGTGAAGCCTCAGTGAAAGTGCACGCACACACACACACAGAGAAAAGGGGACGAAGGATGCGACGCCATCTAATCTGTAAGCATAAATTCCAATCATTTTGCAAATGGAATGTTCAAACGCAAACCAATAAAACCACAAAACACAACACAGCGGATGCCAGGGCGGGGCCCAGGAGGGTCTACAAACTGCAACGGGCCAAGGGTCAAGTGATTTTTCGACCAACATTGACTCTGGCTGGAGATTTCTTGGAATTGCACTGGACTTTGCCTGGCATTAGTCGGATTTAAGTCAATAAAAAGAGAACAAGTCGGCTCCTAAGGCCTGCTATGTACCCAGACCTAGTCGGACGACTTCCTTCTTTGCTACTGAAAGTAGGCCTGACTATGAGTGTTTCACGAACAGACGCATACATCATTTAGCAGAGGCAACAACACACACAATACTCCCCAATCCCACAGCAACACACACAACAAGTAAATACAAAAATGCCAACAAGCAGAAGAACTTCCTTCAAACAATGTCCCCTCAATTATGCCAAGGAGCGCCGCTGGGAGCCCGACTATCTGAAGGTAAGTGGTACCCTAAGCGCCTTGCCAACTACTCGATCGCTGCACCACTTGCCGCAGGTCAAGTGCACCGAGCTGGGCCTGGAAAACGAGTACATGCTGTATCAGAGACGTCAGCGGATCAGCTACCTGAGGGTTTTCTACATACTGCACATCCTAGCCACCCTGTTTCACTGCACAATGATACTAGTCTTCTGCGCTGTGAGTAGCATACGGCTCGATTGAGTGGTCCTGGGTCTAATCAAGCTGCTGTGCAGCATAACGGCCTAATCGTTTTCGATATAGCCGTTTATGTGATAGCCACTGTCCTCATTCTGAGCATACTCAGCGTCAACTTCAACGAGGAGTATGTGTCCAGTAACCCCTGGATTCTGACAATTACTTCAGTGCTATCCGCCCTGATTCTAGTATTTGCGGGTAGGCTTCTTGGTTAATGCAAAGGATAGGTTTATTCATGCCACGCCTGCCTGCAGATGTCTTTCAGGGCACCTATCAATACTACAAAAACGACTGGATGTTGGCCACCTCCTACGACACTTATACGATCCTGATAATCTACATGTTCCTGCCCATACCCTCGCTGCTGGGCGCCGTGCTGCTGGGATCGGCGGTGTCCGTGCTGTTCATCACGTACTTCATGAAGGTCGTCGCCACGCGATTCCATTACTTCAGTATGAGCGAAGTGGATGCGTACAACCAGATAAGTGTGGATGTCATACACTACTTTTGCTTCAACCTTCTGGGGGTCTTCTTTCGCATCATAAACGAGATTGTAGTGCGCTCCTCCTTCCTTAATCGCCACCAGTACATAATGGAGAAGATCTGGCTGCGCAACGCCCGAATCCAGGAGAAGATGCTGCTGGACAGCATTATACCGCCGCAGATAGCGAAGCCCATTCAAGAGGACATCAAGTCCAGACTGGCCAGAAAGGGCGACGCGGTGCGCCCGACGCGCGTCATGGAGCAGATCATGGCCATTCAGATCCATCCCGAGGTCACGGTCTTGTATGCGGATGTCGTCAACTATACGCATCTGACGACCACTGTGAACGTGGAGAAGTTGGTGAGGCTGCTGCACGACCTCTACGGAAGGTTCGATATGGCCGCCACCCAATTCGAGGTTCAGCGAATCAAGTTCTTGGGCGACTGCTACTACTGTGTGGCCGGCCTAATGCGCCCGAATCCGGACCACGCCAAGTGCTGTGTGAACCTGGGTCTGTCCATGATCTCACACATTCAGGAAGTGCGGTAGGTTACGGTGCTATTGCTGGAGGCACCTATTTTAAACATTTTGCAGGATCCAAAACGAGGTGGACATCGATATGCGCATTGGAATCCATTCGGGTAGCGTGATTGCTGGAGTCATTGGCGAAGCTAAGCTGCAGTTCGACATATGGGGTGCGTGGGACATTCCTATGATCAGCATTCCTTGAAGATAATACTCCTCCTTTGTGCAGGAACCGACGTGACCATTGCCAATCTTCTCGAGTCCACCGGTGCGCCAGGCTTCGTCCACATCAGTGGCAGGACTTTGTCGCAATTGGATGCTGATCAGTACACCATATTGCCCGGCACGGAGAGCGCTCTGGCCGAGCCCTTTCTGCGGGAAAAAAACATCAGAACCTACTTGCTGACGGGTGAGGTAAATATGGATCCCGACACTTACCGATTGGACAGTTGGGGTTCCTTGTCCGTGTCGGCACTGGACATCAGCGAGAGACCGGAATTTCACACGCATATTGGGACCGACGATTCGATTAACGATGAGCTGCGTGAAGAGTTTAAAAATATGCCGGTCAGTGGCGTTGAGTAAGTAGATCCCACAGAGGACTCTGATGTATCGAATCCTGCCATCACTGCTCCCTACTCCACAGACTTTTCAAGTCTTGGTCAGCCTGTTTTGGACGTAAGACTCAACCGACTGCCGATCCCTCCATACATAAGATCTGTCTCCATTTTAACGATCCCCATTTGGAATGGAAGTACTTGATGCAGTCGGACTACATGTTTAAGTACAGCATTCTGCTGGCCTGGTGCAGTGGCTGTAGCCTGATCTACATTCAGTTGATTGAGAGCCTCGATCCTTGCGATATATGCATTGTGATAAACTTTTTTGCGTTCTTTTGTCTCACGACGCTGCTTCTGATAGCCTGGTACAAGAAGATTTGCTGGTGGATGTACGGTCGCAGCGATAAGATCCTGTTTAACAAGTCGAACTGCAGGATATTCCGCCTCCATGATAAGATCGTACGTCACCTGACGGTGCGGGTTTGTATCTACGTCTTGATCTTGGCATCGTACTTCTCCCTCATCGTTCTCATAATGGTGAGTGCTTTGCTCACTAGACAGCCACGGTTTCACTTTGTTATGGACTCGTAGGTCAACTGCAATTGGGAGGAGTTCCAGATGAACGACATTGAGAGCAAACTGTATCACTACGAGATGGATCTGAACATGTGCTTCCATCCCTGGGTGGTCACAAATATGGTGGCCCTGATCATTGGCGTCAGCTTCACATTCGCCCGCATACCGTTCATGGTCAAGACAGTCATCACTCTGTGCTTCACGATCGTCTATATGGTGATTATATTTTTCCAGTTCGATTTCGTGTTCCATCACAGCGCCACCATTAATCCATGGTTTCCCTCGGAAATCGCTCATGGTATGCGGATCTTGATAACCCTATTTATGATGTACCTGAAAGAGCGACATTCGGAGTTCAACAATAAAATCGGCTTCGAGTGAGTATATCGCTCCTGATGGACCATCGATTATCGATTATCTCATACAGATGGAGCGTTGATCTAACGAAAAAGAAACAGGATGCCGATGAGACCAACCAATCGATTACAATTGTTCTGAACAACATACTTCCCGCTCATGTCGGTGGGTCTGGGGTCCCTTGGCTCTCACTGACTGGCTCTCATCGATCGCTTTCTCTCGTCCTTTCCACAGTCAAAGTCTACATTAGAAACCTGGCCAAGCACGAGCTCTACTATGAGGAATATAAAATGGTCTCCGTCATGTTTGCCTCGTTAACGAACTTTGAAATGGACCTGCGGCACTTGCGCATCCTCAACGAGATCATCAGGGAGTTTGATAGACTGGTGAGCCCCGCTATAAGTCCGAGATGTTCCATTCCATTCATTCCTATTGCAGTTGATTCACTATCAGGAGTACTACGTGGTTGAGAAAATCAAGATTGTGGGCTGCACTTATATGGCAGCTTGTGGATTGGACGTGAACTATGCCGACCGCGTCAACAACTGGCTGGCGAAGCGCGATTCCCTTTTGGAGGAGGGTAAGCCGCGATGAATGAATAGTAGATTCAGATACAAATAGTCGCTATCCCTCTAGTGGAGCAGGCCCAACGCACACGCAAGTCTTCCACTAAGGAAAATGTTGAGAGCCACGAGGAGGTGGTCTTTGTGATGGCCACGTTTGCCTTGGACCTAATGCGTACCCTCTGGACAGTCAAGAAATCCTACGAAGATCTTCGGTGGCATTATGATCGCTCTTTGATAGTCGGTGACATGACCATCGGCATCTCCAGTGGCGAGGTGATGGCCGGCGTTGTGGGCGCCTCTCACCCACACTACGACATCTGGGGCAGTCCGGTCAACATGGCCTCCCGCATGTATTCCACCGGCCGGATCGGACACATCCACGTGACCGAAGAGACAGCCCTTCTGTTGCGTGAATTCGGCGTCGACTGCATCTGTCGTGGGATGACATTCGTGAAAGGCGCTGGAAGGATTCCCACGTACTTTGTGGCCATTGATGATGATTATCACTTTGTGCCCGTGACCCAGTGGAGTCAAACATCTGACCGACGGCGATCGGTTACTGGACTTGGGTTACTTACCGACAGCTCTTCTTCCTACGAAGATGATTAAGGGATGGCACTCCCTTAGCAGTCATGGCAGAATCCTCTTACTGATCCTCTTACTGTATTCAAATTTTCATTAATTACATTGAACTTCAACTTTGAACCACAAAATCCGTTGACCCAAGCCCAAGATCACTACCCTACAAAGTACTAACATTATTTAAAGTCTCATACATATCATAACCATATAGAACTCACTTTCAGCCTAGACCAAGGGCCATCTGCCACAGACTGCCTGGACGTTAGTTCCTGGAGGATCAACCGAAGAATAGGAACTGAGATTTCCTTTCCAATCAGGCACAGCCAAAAGAAAACAGCCTTTCCCTGAAAGAAAATAGAGATCTACCATGGGAAACTGGCCTCCACAGCCGCGCAGATCCAGAAGCTCAAAAAGCGTGAGCCATAGACGTTATTTGGGTCAATGAGAATTTATAGAACATTTCCAAAAGGTTTCCTACAATACATGACAATTTGTTCATTGATATTTTGTTATGTACATCTATCGGAAAAATTCCCTTCAAAGTTGGCTACCAGTTCGATGTAATAAATTTCAAAGCACTCAAAGAATATTAAATAGCAAAAATGTCTGAAAAGCGCTTTTCCGAAGACGTGTGTCAGTACAACTATACCAAAGAGCGCCTTTGGGAGCGCAGCTACCTTTTGGTAAACCTTTGAAATACACACACCTGGTGCACTTATCTATATACATATGGACATCCCTAGGTAAAATGTGCGGAACTGCACTTGGAGGAGGAGTACCGCTTGTACCAGGCACGACTATGGAGCAGTTTTCTTGGGGTGTTCTGCCTTCTGCACGTGCTCATAACCATCGCCCACTGCGTCATACTGCTGTTGACCTGCGATGTAAGTCGAGCAGGAAGTGCTAGCTGAAGTATAGTCTCCTTGATCTCTTTATCCAGCATATCCACATGATAATAGCCGATGTGGTTATATATCTAGCGACTTCATTCGTTATTCTAACTATCTTGGGCATCAATTTCTGTGAGAACTTTGCCAGGCGGCACTCGTGGATTACCTATATGAGCTCCGTAGTGGCTGCATTGGCCTTTGTATCTGCCGGTGAGAAGGTCTATTACTAGAAGATCCATTACTAAAGAGAGGATATGCTTCCGTCCTGCAGATATCTTTCAGGGCACATATCATTACTACACCCACGACTGGGCACTGGATACCTTCTACGACACCTATATTATCTATATAATATACATGTTCTTGCCGATGCCCATCATCTCGGGTGCCCTGCTGCTGGGGGTCACAGTGTCCGTCGTGTACATCACCTACTTTGGGATCTACATCGCCACGGAGTACTATATGGCCTACGACTATGCCAGGTTCAGTGTGTACATTGTCCACCACGTGTGCTTCAACCTTCTGGGTATGTTCTTTCGCATAATGAATGACATTGTAGTGCGGTCGTCCTTCCTGGACCGCCATCAGTACATAATGGAGAAGATCTGGCTGCGCAATGCGCGTCGTCAGGAAAAGTTAGTTCTGCACAGCATTATCCCGCCGCAGATAGCGAAACCCATTCAAGACGATATACAAAATAGACTTGCCAGAAAAGTACGCGGACTTGCCGCGCGTCGCTCACCGGGCGTCATGGAGAATGTCATGGCCATTCAGATCCATCCCGAGGTCAGTGTCTTGTATGCGGATGTGGTCAACTATACGCATCTGACGACCACTGTGAACGTGGAGAAGTTGGTGAGGCTGCTGCACGACCTCTTCGTAAGGTTCGATTTGGCAGCCACCCAATTTGAGGTTCAGCGAATCAAGTTCTTGGGCGACTGCTACTACTGTGTGGCAGGTCTAACGCCGCCGAGTCCCGACCACGCCAAGAGTTGTGTAGGTCTGAGTCTGTCCATGATCACCCACATTCAGGAAGTTCGGTAGGTTATGGTTATTGATCGAGACCTTTGTATTTAAACATCTTGCAGGAGGGAACACGAAGTGCCCATCAATATGCGCATTGGGGTCCATTCGGGTAGCGTGATTGCTGGAGTCATCGGCGAAGCGAAGCTGCAGTACGATATATGGGGTGCGTAGGACATTCCAGATCATCACTCCTTGAAGATAATACTCTTCCTTTGTGCAGGTACCGACGTGACAATTGCCAATCACTTAGAATCCACCGGGACACCGGGATTCGTCCATGTTAGTGCCAGCACTTTAAAGGAACTAGAACCCAGCGAATATACGATAATTCCTGGCACCGATGCAGCCTTGGAGGATCCCGTTCTAGGCAAAAACAATATCACAACGTTTCTGATTTCTGCTCAGACTTCGCACCATTCCCCCAGTCGTTCCCTAGAGAGGATTGATTCATATGCTGACATCGATATATACGCTAGACCCGATATATACCGTTCTAAAACGATCAACGAAGAGTTGCGTCAGGAGTTTCGAATGATGCCAGTCTGTAGTTTCAAGTGAGTGTCGACTCTCTCGGACAAAGCACAATTCAACCATTAAGCAGATTCCGCACACCCCAGACAAATCTTTTCCTGTAGAAAGCGAAACCAGTCTATCGACCTTCCGTCGCCCGGGGTTACCAAATTTTGCCTGGTCTATCGGGATTCCAACCTAGAGTGCAAGTACTTGCACTCGCCGGACCTTATGTTCAAGTACAGCATGTTGCTGGCTTGGAGCATGGGTTGCAGCCTGGCCTACATTCAGCTGTTGACTCAAAACCGGAACCTACTACTTGAGGCCATAGTGCTGGACGCTGTAGTCTTAACTTGTCTGACCGTCTTGCTTGTCATATCTTGGTACAAGAAATTTTGCTGGCTTAGATATGGCAATAATGAGAACGATCGGCACAGATTCGGCAAACTTAGCTGCTGGATATTTCGGACCAGTGAGAAGATCCAAGCGAGCCTCAGCCTCCGCATTTCCATCTACCTCTTCATCATTTGTGCGTACAATTCCGTGATCTGCATCGTACTGGTAAGGATCGTCGACGGAGGGACTAACCATTGAGCCTAAAGGAGTGCTATCTTCTAGATGGGATGCGATCGCGAGGAGCTGGAAGTGATGTACATCGAGAGTAAACTGTATCACTATGAGGCCGATATGAGTGTCTGCTTCAATCCCTGGTTGATCTCCAATATGATGGCCCTTACCATTGGCATGTGTTTCACGTTCACGAGTGTTCCGTTCGTCTTGAAGATAGTTGTCTGTCTACTGATGACGATCTCCTATCTGGTGGTTATACTAATCCAGTTCCAGTTCGTTTTCCATCACAGTGTCACCACAAATCCCTTTTTTTCGGCAGAATACGCACATAGTTTGCTCGTTGTCATCGCATTTGTTACCCTGTATCTGAAGGAGCGACACGCGGAGTTCACAAACAAAGTCAACTTCAAGTGAGTAGCTCTGTAGTCCATACCCTAGACATCAGCTATTTAAACCTATTCAGTTGGCGCGTGGAGCTGAAAAAAAAGCAGAGAGATGCCCATATAACCAACCACTCGATAATAATTCTCCTGAATAACATACTTCCAGGTCATGTTGGTATGTTTTTGGTTGAGTTTCGGTTGAGCAAAATCATCGGACACGCCTCTCTTCCCCAGTCAACGTCTACCTTACATCTCTCGAAAAACATGAGCTGTACTACGAAGAGTATAAAATAGTTTCCGTCATGTTTGCCACCCTACAGAACTTTGAAATGAACATCAGAGGCTTGCGTCTGCTGAACGAGATCATCACAGAGTTTGATAGATTGGTAAGCCCTAATAGACTCTACTATTTATTAGTCCTTATGTCTGCCCCCTTCAGTTGCATCACTACAAAGACAATTACTTGGTGGAGAAGATCAAAATTGTGGGCTGTACTTATATGGCAGCTTGTGGACTGGACGTCAGCTTTGCCGATCGTGTCAGCGTCGAGTGGGAAAGAAGAGACTCGCTAATGTCAGAGGGTTAGTGGTAATTAACGTACGGTTCGGATTAGTAAGTGTGTCTACCATCCTTTTAGTGGAACAGGCCCGGATGGTTCGCAGACGATCTTCGAGAATGTCACAGAAAAGTCAAAAGGAAGATCTTGGCGAAGAGGTCGTCTTCGTGATGACCACGTTTGCCCTGGACCTGATGCGCACCCTCTGGATGATCAACAAGGCCTATGAGACGACATCCTATGACAAGTCCATCATCACCCCAGACATGACCATCGGCATCTCCAGTGGCGAGGTGATGGCCGGCGTTGTGGGCGCCTCTCACCCGCACTACGACATCTGGGGACACCCCGTTAACATGGCCTCCCGCATGGACTCCAAGGGCCTGATTGGCCACATCCACGTGACCGAGGAGACAGCCATTCTGTTGCGTGAGTTCGGCGTTGACTGCATCTATCGTGGGATGACATTCGTGAAAGGCGCCGGGCCAATGCCCACGTACTTTGTGGCCATTGATGATAATTATGACTTTGTCACCACCGCAGCCAAGCGAACGCCAAGACATCAATATCGGGAAAGGGATGAGTATCCGCTGGAAAGCGAATCGATGCTTGGCTTCTCTGGAGTCGATGACACCGATAGTAACGATGAAAAATACATATAAATAGGAGCTATTTTAATGGGAGTTATTACAAAGCCGCCTTGCCTTCTGTTTTCTTTGCGTGACCTGCACTTTCCCTTCCAAATATTATTAATGATTTTCTACGCCTACCAATTAAAAGTGTCAAAAGCAGAAGCAGCCGGAACCTTTGGTCTTGCCTTGGCTTTGTAATTGAATCAATCCCGAAAGCGTTTCAAATTTGAACATTTTTGAGTTGAGGAAGAGCCGCCAGCTCTAAGCATAGGGTCCTCCGGTTGAGTGCTTTCCGATTTGATGGGTACCCTTTTTACACGTACAATTAAAAGTAATTTTTACAAGCAATTTGCAAATTATGATGACGATGACGGTGACGGTGACGGTGACGGACATGAATGCTGATCGTATCCCTTTGATGCTGATGATGCTTGTCATTGTTTGCTGTAATTGACGAGTC